CGTTTTTGCTGCTGCAAAATCAAACCCAGAACAGCTCTGACATGAAGGTTGACAAGATGCCCTAATGCATGCAGCGGGTTATACAGTTAAATAACCTTGCTCCAGAAAAATGTGGCAACAACAGAGGGGAACACACACAAAGAAAGACAGAGCTCCCCGCCACCACATGAATAGCCTAGCTGGGCAATCCTGCCAGGACCCAGGGAGAATACAGATCAGAGGGGAAACTGGAAATCTAACATTAGCAAGGCCTTGATGGTGCTAAGAAAAACCCTTTTCCAACGCTCCCCTTCCTTTGCTTCCTCTTGCCTCTCTCCTTCCCCAAACCAAAAGTCCTGCCAACACAACTTGAGAGCTGTCAGGGAAAAAGAAGCAGCCCTGTGTGAAGAGGCAGAGCCCTGTGCGCGGCCCTGCAGCTGGGCCCGGCTGCACGATGTTCATTATTCCTGGCAGGCGTGCATCCCAGCCAGAACTCCTCCTGCAGCTGGTATTTGGTGGGCTAAGTTACCGGCAAGAATCAGCGATGAAACACTGGACTTTGTTCTTGCTGATGATCTGAAAGAACTAGGGAACGGGGAGGCCTGGGAATTTTAAACAGAAATTTCCAGGCTCAAAAATTGAACTTTTTTTGTTGTGGGTGGTTGCTTTTGAACAAAAGACTAGGACTGTGAACACAAAGGTGATATAGTCCTTGAGAATTAAAGAAGGTCATTCTAGAACATCTACAGTTAATGTTTAAATTAATAAACTTTATAGCATATGATGTGAGAAAGAAAGAAAGAAAGGGGAAAAAAAGACACCCTGGAGGTTTTCTTGCTTTGGAAAGACTCATAAAGCTGGAAAGTACCTCCTGAGGTGTTGGTCAGGGTCCCTGACACGAGGTTATGATATCTATGCCTGAAATCTCCTCTTCAAGATTTTGAGGGATGGAGAGTTCATAAATACTTTACAGCCCAGTGGCATGTGTTCCCACCTTGCATGCAGAAATCTTCACTGCGTTCAACAGAAATCACGGCTAGCTTCCCTCTGTCCCGCTGGCCACTTGGTCAGGTACCTGCGTAACCCTTCTCCCTTTGGAGCCTGCTCTTCTGAATTCTTTTTAGTTTGTTTATTTTTTCAATATCCCCTTAGAAGAGAAATGACTCCATAAATCTTGAATTCTATACACTTTGTCCAAAAAAAAAAAAGACGGCTTTTCTTCTCCTAGCAAATGTTACCAAAAAATTGTGTGTGTGTGTGTGTGTGTGTGTGTGTGTATTATACGTACTTCATTTTATTAAGCTTCTTTTTGTGGCATTTTGCGATGCTCCTTTATTTTCTTTACAAATGGAAGTCTGGTGGCCACCCTATTTCACGCAAATCTATGGACCCTGTCTTCCAACAGCATGTGAAAGCATCTTCCGTCTGGATGTCCACTTTGGTCATCCTCCAACTGTTTCACAATGCTATTTGCCCATTTCATAAACTGCAATATAGTGTCAACATAACTTTTCTATGCACTAGGAGTCCCGGCGTGGAATGATAGGATAAGCATTCGAACCGCAAGGTCAGTTTGAACAGCAGTGTCGGCTCTTCAAACTTACCAGCTGCCGCTAAGAAACCCTATACAGGGTCACGATGAGCCAGAATTGACTCGAAGGCACTTAACAACAGGCAAGATAAAACAGGAACAGACAAGTCATTGTTGCTGCTCCAACCACGGACACATTTTTTATTTTTTTTTAAAAATATAAAGTCATAGAACTCACTGACCTAAATCCTTCTGATGGTTTTCATCTAATTAGAACAAAAATCCAAACTCACAAGAATAGCCTTAGCGCTCTCTGAGCCTGAACCCCATCTGATTCCACCATTCATCAGAAATGTTCTCAGAAGTCTGGGCACATCCACCCATCCCTTTCTATTATGAAACACGCCAATCCCGTTTCCACGTCAGGGAGTTTACACTCCTTACTTGGGGTTGGAGGTTCGCATCCACCCAGAGGCACCATGAAAGAATGGTTAGGGAATCTACTTCCAAAAAATTGACTGATGAAAACCCGATGGAACATGGTTCTACTCTGACACACATGGGGTTGCCATGAGTTGGAATCAGCTTGGCAGTGACTGGATTGAGTTTGTTTCTGGATTGTTCCTTCTGCCTGAAGTCTTCACCCACAGGTTCTTCACAGAGTGGCTTCTCACCGGTCATCGATTGTTGGCCTGTACTGGTCACTCTTCCCTCCAACTAGGAATCAAATTCCATAATGATGCTGGTCCAACTTGCTCAGCCATGCCCACATGCCGGCCAACAGTGAGCACTTAGTATGTGTTTGTGGAAAGGATGAAAGTGCATGAGATTTTGAGCACAATGCTGTGGTCCAGTATCGCTGGAAGGTCAAACTCGTCCACAGTTATGCGCCCTGGTAGCTCAATGGTTAAGTGCTTCACTGCTAACTGTAATCCACCCCGAGGCTGCGTGGGAGCAACACCAGGCATGGTGATCTCTTTCTTTAAAGACTCTGTTGTTGTCAAATGCAGTCCAGTCAGCTCCAACTCAGAACGACCTTGCATATGGTTTCTGAGGGAACCCTATGAGGCAATTTGACTCTGCAGTTCCACTTTGTGTCTACGAGTAAAAATTAACTTGTAGGGACAAAATGTGAGAAACGGTGTCGATACCCCAGACACTGCCTCGATCCCTCTTGGGCACTAGTGGGTCAGTATAAACCCCTGACTAGGACCTTACCCCAATGGGTCTCTAGACGGAGAACTGGGGAAGACCACCTTATCCCATATGAGGTCTCCGATGAGTTATCACAAGTGCTTATCAACAAAAGCTCAAGAAATCCAATCTGTACTCATTTTAGTGAGAGTGAGGCTTTTTTATTTGATTTTGTAAAAGTGGGTGTCAAACCCAGAAGACAAGGGCCAATGCACCACTGGGTCTGAGAAAGTCCCTCCCCAGTGTCCCCCCAGGTTCCTCATCCATTGAGTACTACAGGGTTAACCATCTTCCTCAGATATCCCCTTGATGGTTGCATTCTTATTTAAAGTTCCTAGTTGACTAAACACATCCCTTCTCTTTCCCCTTCCCCATGAGCTTCTGTTGTTACACTAGATGGCAACTTCCTGGACTCCCCTCATTCCTGAAGATGGACCATCTTAAGAGTTGTTTCTCACAAATGCAATAGCAGCAAGGAGGGATGAAAAGCTCTGTCAAGACAGAGGAATCAAGCCTTGCTACACTAACCTAGAAAGCAACAAAGAAAGGAATAGTTCCCCAAGATTATAATGGATATCCACATGCAGGCATGCATTTTCTGCATTTCCTTGCCCCTTATTTTATTTTCAAAATTCAAAACAAATTTCCAACAGGGAAGTATGCATAAAACATCTTTTCTTTGTTACCTCTAAGCCGATTACCATATTCACCAGCTCAAGTGAAAGAGTAACATGTTAGACAGAACCCAGAAGCTGACTGAAATTATACACTTCATTTCTGCTTCTGTTTTCATGTCAGCATCACCGTTTACATGAATGAAAAATGTGTCCTTTATAGATTCAGAGGCAAGAAAATTAGTATAAACTTTGAGAGAAGAATCAAAGCAAAATATCTAAAATTACCCCAAAAAGGACTCAGTGAGGACCAGTGTTGGGAAACTTGAGGGTGGGTTTGGGGTTTTGTTTTGCTTTTCCCCATTCTTTAAGATATGTTTTACTCAGACTGAGATTACAAAGAATGAAATTATCATTCAGAACAAAATTTTTCTTATGAAGTCCAAAGTTCCATGTTATTAAGTGTCATTGAGTTGGTTCTGACTCTTAGCAACCCTGTATAGGGTTTCTGAGAAGCGGCTGGTGAGTTTGAACTGCTGATTTTGCTGTTCAAACCAACCTTGTAGTCTAATGCTTATCCTACAGCGCCACACCAGGACTCCCTAGGGCCATAGAAATATGCATAAAATACCATTTTACTGATAAAATAAAATGCATTTTATTGATTTTAAAGTCTGCATATTTCATGTGCACCCCCAAAATGATGAAAAATGTTTTATCATTCAGAAGGAAAAGCAAGCTATGAATTCACACTACCAACACTCGACACTCAATGAACTTATTTGAGAAGTCATTTTATGGTCTCTCTCTTTCTCTCTCTCTCTTTTTTTATTTTGAGTTACCAGGTAGCCAGGCACTCATGGTAGAGAAGGCAGTTGACCATGGAGGTGACTAGACCCTCAATCCGTTTCCTCTACTGATTTCTGCTTCTCCATCTTTCTCTGTTCCTCCAGACGAGTAGAGACCTACCATTGGATTTTGGATGGCCATATGCTACCTGTTAAGATCCCAGGCACTACACAATGAACTAAGAGGGAGAGGAGAAATACTGAGAAACAATCCTGAGCCATTTGATTGGGGTATCTGGCAAAATGAGGACCCTATAAACCGGATGGGTCTTGGCTATCATTACTGATCCTTCTGATCAAAGATTTGTTAGAAAAATCCCCATCAAAAGGGGGAAGAATGTAGAACTGAATTTCAAATTCTCAACTTCTGGAGCAAGTAAAGCTAGAGAAGCCCAAATAAAACTACTGCTCTTATGCAATCTTGAAACTTCAAGCCTTAAACAAAACATACCCCTGGAGTCTTCACTGAACTAAAGGTTAGTATACTTTGAGAAAGTACGTCTACTTTGAGCATTATGCTCTTTTACATAATTCTGCACGTGAGATCAAACTCACAGCAACTTGAAAGGTTAGATGAGAAACTCAGGGGGCATTAAGCCAAGTCCATGGTGCTGGGACAGTCTGGGTAAGAACGGTGACATTGGTTGTACAGTTTGAGGAAGTGAGTCCATGTCAGTGAGTTGTCCATGTCAAAATGGTTGGAATGGTGTATGACTGTGTATATTGTCACCAAAACAAAACAAAAAGTTAGCATAATGAAACAATCATCTATTAAGACTGAGTGCCCTTGTGTCTGTCCTACCAGGAGAGCCTCTGCTGGCCCGGGCCACATACCTTGCAGCCACTGTGGGCTCGTGTCTTCATCAGAGGTGTGGTGGTGCACAGTTCAATGGCCTCGGGTTCATGGAAGATGACGGCTGGGAGAGGTTCCTTCTTCAGCGTGAGGACATTCAGTTTAGATTTCAGCATGGTCTGAAAGTGCTGAAAAGCAGATGAACAAACCAAATATAGCTCAAATTTTTTGTATACTGGGTACAGTACATGTTATCATAAGGAATTCTGATGGAACACTGGTTAAGTACTCAATTGTTAACTGAAAAGTCAGCAGTTCAAACCCACCAGCTGGTCTATGAGAGAAAGATGCATAGGTCATTTTCTGTGATGACTGCAGTCTCAGGACCTTCAGGAGGCTGACTGACTCTGTCCTCTAGGGTCACAATGAATCCAAATTCACTTGAGGGCAATGGGATCTTTAAGTATCAAATCCAGTAGCATAATCGTCACGATTCCTAATTAAGGTAAAAGCTACTTCACATGAAATGATCCATTTTAGAGTGTAGGCTGACCTCTGCCATATACTAAGTTCTGGTAGACAGCACTAGAAGCAGTCTTACTCACACGAAGTGGGTCAACCACACTGCTGGGGTTATCTCAGGTAACATGACCTGAAAATATAGGTCCTGCTGGGCCACCATCATTAAGGTCAAGCTTAGTCACCAGACACAAAGGCAGACTAATTGCTGCTGACTGGCACATATCCTGCCCCTGGGATTGCACCTGGTGCCCAGCAAGTAAAATAAATAAACAAGAGAAAAGAGTGCTTAAACTGGGGATATGAAAATAATAGAGTTCAAATTTTCAATAGAACATGTTAGAAAGCCTCAGCTATTTCATTCTTCAGATCCCCAACGTCTCCAGACAGGCAGGCCCATGGATGCATCTGTCTGTCAATTTATTCCATCTATATATGAGAACCACTGGGCTGGTCTGTGGGGTAAGCACTGGACTGCTAACCATGAGATTAGCAGTTCAAATCCACCAGCCACTCAATGGGAGAAAGACAAGCCTTTCTGTTCCCATAAAGATTTATAGACTCAGAAACTCTATACAGGGTCACTGTGAGTCATAACCAACTCAATGGCAGTGAGCGAGAGAGGATGTTCAACCAGACACTGGGAGGCACAGCTGGATCCCACAGGAGATCTGAGTGGCTGGTTGGAAGGAGACTTAAGTCAGGTGACAACTGCAAATCTGCATAAGTAGTCCTTCAGGAGAACCAAAGAGAGGAGGCTAGAATAATTTGAGAGTGAAATACAGAAAAATGATTCTTTAAAAACCACAAAAAGAGAAATGTTTCCCTTTTGTGCTTTTGGTCCTTTGATGCCCACAGTGAAAGGAAAAAGGCAAAGAGGGAAATGAAATCTGGAATATTTGATGAAATAACTGGCTCTGCAATTATATCAATTTTCTGTAACTCTGACTGGTGGGATAGAAATGTGAGCATTGTAGTCGTTTCTGATAAGAGACGCTCATCCCCTTCTTCTAGGAAGACAGAAGTCTCTATAGGCCCCTTAGCATATACTACGTGTGGGATGCAGTTGCTGGTCATACTTTCCCATCTTCTACCATTGGGAAACAACACGTGATACCGAATGACCATCAGAGTATGTCTGTCTCTTAGCCCTGACCAAAGGATCTGATTCACAGGAAACACAAGATTGGCTAAACAGATCCTTCTGGAAGATAGATATGGGGTTGGTAATCTGGAGGAATGATACAAGTTCAGAGTCACCATTGACCTTCTTGCCTACCAAGTTCAGTGTGAGAACAAGACCACACAGAGACAATCAAAGCTAAGGACTGTAGAGACACAGACTTGACAGTGCTGAGCCTCTGAGGCCAGCTCTGGTTAACTCAGCTCCACCCAGGGACTTGCCAAGAATGAGCCCATAATTCCCATGCTTGCAACTAATTGGGTCCCAGTAATACAAATATAATCAAAGAGCATCTATAAAAATAAAAAGCAGTTCATTAGCAAAAATTTAAATGGCTTTGTAAATTTTAAACTACAGACAGGCACAATAATACTATCTTTAAAATAATAATGCATCCTGCACTTCATTATTGGACCTTCCTGAACCCTGCTGAATAAATAGCCATTGCTCACCTAATGCAGGGATTAGACTGGCCACTATCTCCTTGTCTAAGATAAAACCACCATAAGCTATCGCCAATAGGAGACGAACTCCCAGTCTCAGGAGACAGTCAAACAGTGGACCTAGAATCACACCCAATGTTCCTGGTCAGTGCTTTGAGCTAGTTTACAAAGACCCAGGCATTATCAGTGACTTTGCATTTCCCAGCCTCAGTTTTCACATCAGTCAACTTTAACATCATGGTGGTGGTGGTGGTAGTGTGCCAACTCATAGCAACCCTACATAGAGTTTCCAAGGTTGTAAATCTTTACGGAAGCAGAAAGCCTCATCTTTCTTCCGTGCAGTGGCTGGTAGTTTTGAACTGCTGAGCTTGAGGTTAGCAGCCCGACTTGTAACCACTACGCTATCAGAGCTCCTTGTTAACATCATACATTACAGCAAAAACTCAAACTGGTGACTGTCCACGCCTTCATGACTACTGGAAACCCCACTGGTCACACAGTAGAATCGCTCCATAGGGTTTTCTCAGCTGACATGGGGTGGTGTTGTAGGATAAGCACTGGACTACAAGGTCTGTTTGAACTACAAGGTTGGCAGTTCAAACTCACCAGAAACCCTATACAGGATCACTATGAGTCAGAACCAACTTGACGGCACTTAACAACAAAAACAACAAATCTATACAGAAGAAGGTCACCAGCTTGTCTTCCATGGCATTGCTGGGTGGGTTCCAACCAACAACTTTTAGATCAGTAGACAAGCCAAACCACTCTGCCCTGTTACATATGGTATCACTTGGTCTTTCCATGGACAATAAGGTTCCTAGGATGGATTAGACACAGTGGTAACAGCAATGGGCTCACTGGAAGACCGGGCAGAGTGTCATTGTACTATGTACACTGTACAGAGTCAGAACTGATTGAAGGGCACCTAATAGCAACAACAGCAGAGACAATACAACTTAAAAATAACAAAAACAGCATGTAAGAGAGGAGCTTGAAGAGGTTGCTACTCCCAAAGGAAAGATGCAAGGAGCCCCATACAGAAAATGGGTTATTCATCCTTTAAAAAGCAAAGTGAATAGTGTTGTAGAAAATTAGGGCACTGCCCCCCAAAATGAAACAAAGCTTTCTGTGCTGGGCACTTTATATGGGATCCCAAAATAGAACCACTAAATCAAGTCCCATTATGCGGATGGTAATCTCCATGCTCTGTATAATTTTACAGTTGGCACTTCCTACTTCTATTCAGACATTAATCTCTGCCAGTTTAGCAGACGGGGATTTACATATTTTACCAATTCAAATCAGGTCTCTCTCACCTTTGTATTGATTCTGCATCACACAAAACATAAAACATCCTTGGAAGGTCAGTCCTGTTTCATCTCTTTATAAAATAGTTGGGCCCTAGCCCTCACTCAAATTAGAATCATTAAAATTTTAATCCTTGGTCCATCCTTGTATTTTGAAGTTGGACTATAATGGCTAGTTTTAACTTGCAAATTACAGATTTGGTCATGCCCTAATCAAGCTTCAAAGATTTCCCAAATGCTCATCTTAAGAGAGCCACAAGGAACAAGTGAAGGAATTAAATTAATGAGAAACTTCAGTACCCCAGAGAAATGCTCATTTGTCCAAGTGTGTAAAAACAATGAGGGTTTGACATTCCATTCATAATCACATTTTGTTTGTCTTACTTTGGGTGTATACTGGGAATCACTTGCAGATGTCTTGTATTTTATATCACTTGTTTTGAATGAGACCCCAAATATGAGAAAAGAGATTATGATGACACTCTTCTGTAACCATCAGTAAGTCTGCTGCTGGTTCTTTTGTGTAAGACTGGGTCCCATTGCTGTTGCTTTAGGGTCCTATCAAGTAGGCTCATCTCAGATTGACCTTATAGACAACAGAACAAACACTGCCCAGTCCTGTGCCATCCTCACAATTGCTGTTATATTTGAGCCCACTCTTTCTACATCCATCTCACTGAGGATCTTCCTCTCTGTCACTGACCCTCCACTTTACTATGCATGATGTCTTTCTACAGGGACATTGTGACAACGTGTCTAACGTAGGAGAGACAAAGTCTTGTCATTGTTGCTTCCAAAGAGCGATCCAACAGTACTTCTTCCAAAATAGATTTGCTCGTTCCTCTGGTAGTTCGTGGTATATTCAGTGCTTTTCCCAATACCATAATTCAAATTAATCGATTCTTCTCCAGTCTTCCTTACACATTGCCTCATTTTCACTTGCATATGGGGTGATTGAATTTACTATGGTTCAGGTAGGTTCATCTTAATCCTCAAACTGGTATCTTTGATCTCTGACACTTTATCAAGGTCTTCTATAGGGATTTGTCTAATCCAGTATGGCTTTGATTTCTTGACTGCTATTTCCATGACCATCGATTATAGATCCAAATAAAATGAAATTTTTGACAACTTCAATCTTTTCTCTATTTATCGTGATGCTATGTACTTGTGAGGAATTTTATTCTCTTTACATTGAGGTACACTCCATACTGAAGGCTGGAGTCTTTAGACTTTAACCAACAAGCAACGTTGTGTCATGTAGTTGTTTTTAGGTGCCATTGAGTCAGTTTCGACTCATAGAGTCCCTGTACACCGTTTCCAAGGAGCAGCTGGTGCATTTGAAGTGACGATCTTGTGGCTCAGACCAACCTTGTGGTCCAGTGCTTATCCTACAGCACCACGTTGCTAATGACTATCTGATTCTAATGCAATATGTCATTTGATTTCTTGACTGTTTCTTCCACGAGTATCAATTGTGGATCCAAAGAAAAGGAAGTCTTTGATAACATCAATATTTTCTCCATTATCATTATGTTATTACTGGTCACTTGTGAGGATTTTTGGTTACTTTATGTTGAAGTACAATTCATTAATGAAGACTGTAGTCTTTGATCTTCATCAGTAAGTATTTTGAGTATTCTTTGCTTCTAGCAAGCAAAGTAGTGTCATCTGCATATCGCAGGTTGTTAATGAGTCTTCATTTAATCCTGATGTCATGTTCTTTTTCATAT